CATATAAACCCTATTAGCATACATCTAAGAGTTATATACAAGGCATAAAAATATAAGTGAAGAAAAATAAAATCCTATGCTAATACAAAGCTTCAGGAATGGGGGTACAAATAGTAAAAACGAGGGAAATAAAGTAAAACCCTAATTAATCTATTACAAACCGTAAGCAGATACATAATGGGAAAAACATGAAAGTAATAAAATACGCGAAAATAAAAGGAAAAGGAAATGGTTTTATGATTTTTCTTGATAAAAAAGTTCGATGATTAACCTAATAACCTAATTAATTTAATTAATTAAAAAGAAAATTGATTAAAAACCTAAAAAACCCTAAGTTAATTTTGATTAAAAAAGTCTAGTGAAAAACCTTTAAAAAACTAAGTTAATTAGTTAAACGAAAACCTAAAAATAAATTAGGGTTAATTAAATAAAAACCTAAAAATTAATTAGGGTTTGTGAAAATGTTAGGGTTTTTAAAAATAGGTTTTGTAAAAATAGGAAAAGGAAAGAGTAAGAAGAAGAGAGAATTGAAAGAAAATAAACTAAATGGTAGGGGTGAGTGTGAGCCTACACCCTCAGAACCTTCAGCTAGCACGCCCACCACTGGGCCAAGCGCGCCTTGGTGTTAGTAAACAGCATCAAGTGCATTTTGTAAATCATCCTGCAAAACATAAAAATATGAGGAAAATAATGGCAAAAGGCAGGATCGAACCAGTGCCTTTTGATACCAATTCCTTAACGCGCGTGCTTCGATCTTCTTCTCCAGTTACCTGTTTTTGTCAAACCTGCAAAACAACCAAAAGCATTAATCTAAAATCACCCTACCCCCTAAATCAAGGGCTACGAATTCAATGAGATGGTTATTTCAGCTTAAATTGCAAGGGTTTGAGAGCTACGAAGAAGAATGCATGGATCGGTGCTAACATGGTGTTTTATGATTTCGATTGCATGGGATCCTTATGATGATCCAGACATGTACAAAGACATCTCAGAAACACATTAATGACATTAGTATGGCTTAAAACAAAACACAAATTAAGATATGAATTTTGTGAAAATTATGGAGTCAGAGATGAATGCATGGCATTTCATGAGCTTTAGACCATCAATCTTGATCCATTCTTACTTTGTATGATTGCCGGGAGTAAATGGAGTGGCTTGTTTGTAGTGAAAGGTTGTGATAAGGGTTTGAAGATCTTTTAGGTTCTTTGAAAATTTTGATATTTTTGGACAAGTTTTTGAGGCAAGGGTTTCGTGTCCTTTTTTATGAGAATGAATGGGAATATATAGGACAAATTATGTCAAACGTATGGCTTGGTCTTTGTGTAAGAAGGCTTTGTATTTTTCTTATTTATTTTTGAACTATTAATGAATAAATCAAAATAATTAAAAATAAAATAGACCAAGAGGTTCATGAAAAATATATGAGGTGTATGAGGAGTATAATACACGTTTGGACCTTAAAACAATGGTCCAATAGTCCAAAATACCAAGCTTGCTCAATTTGAACTTCATGCATTTGCTCAAACTTTTCTAACTTGCACTGGTCATAACTCACTCAATTTTCATCTTTCGAAGGTGATCTTGGAAATTTTGGAAATATCCACATGTCCTCTACATTCTCTCTTTTGATCATTTTTGCATTTGGAGAATTTATCTTGATGTAAGTTGTCTTGACAAAAAGTGTCTTTTTGTTGACTTTTGAAATGACATGTAATGTATTGGCTCATATCTCTCAAATGAAGAATTTTTTGGACTTGAGCTTAGAGTTTCAAAGTTGTAGAGAATTTAATTTCCTTTAAAATGAGCCTTGTTTAGGGAAAAACTGATGAAGCATGTGAAAGGTATGCTTGGCCAAAGTTCAGTTGACTTCTCCTAAGGAAACCCTAATTTGACAACTTTTGACTTTTAATGATCTGAGGGCTTTTCTTGAGTAATTATGATCAAAACTTGATCAAATTATGAATATGACTTCAAAATCTTGATGTTGACCAAAAAACTTGAAGTTTGTCTGCATGTTGACCACAATTAATTTTTTACCCAATACAATTGATTTTCAGTCATCTGAGTCATTGACTGAGCAAACTTGTGATGCAAGGCATAAAACTTGATATGAGCATTCTTGAAGACATATAAGAGATCATGAAATCCACTTGAGACCTTAGAAACCCAAATTTCCTTGTGAAAGATGAAACCCTAGTTGTGGACCCATTGCTTAGGAGGAGAATTTGTCTGATCAATTCTTGAGCAACCTTGAACAATTGAAAACCCTAGGAGAATGTCTTGAATAAATGGGAGGGAAAATTTTAGGGTAAAATAGTTATCAAGATCACCTATAATTAATACAACAACCTCAGAGCATGAGGGAAGATTATATGTTCTTGGATATTTTGTTATGTTCCTAAACAATCTCAAACAAAAATGGATGTGTTGTCGCACTATACATGGTCATGAAATTTTCTAAAAGATCTTGCTAACACATTGTGTTCATCAATCATCTTGGTAATGTCTTCAACTAAAAATTTTTCTAAGCACTTTTGCAGATCATTGGAACTGGAGAACAAAAAAAATTGTCAGTGATGAACATAATATAAAAAACAGTGAAATAAAGGCATAGAATATACCTGAAATGGGAAAATTAGTTGTTTATCTCATTTGATGTGTCATGAATATAGATTTGTGCAAATTTGGGAACTACTTCTTCTTCTGGAATCAAACTGTCAATTCTGGGGGAAAAAATTCCACCAAGAATAAATTTAGAAGGACAACCATGAGAGTTCGATTGGATCGTACCACCCATAGAGGTAAAATAGAACATACTATTATATGCTCGGATGTTGTCTTTGTAATGTTTACTTCTATAGTCTTAGCCATTCATTAGGTTACATAGCAGTTCTGGAGGCTGATGTTCATATGGTAGGTCAACTACTCCTTTCATACAGCAGAGGGAAAACATAACATTTAAGGTTGTGTTGTCACATTTGTCGAACAACTCCTCATGCCACATTTGGGCACCATAATGAGAATAATTATATGATGGCGATCCAAAATCTAGAATTTCTGATGTGATACAAACAAATAAAGACATAGCCGATGCATAATTTTATGACAAAAATTTTATATTTAAAAAGACATCATAATGTAATTTCAATGTGTGTTCACCTTGAGATTTAGCATCCTTATATTTATTGTAACGAAGAACTATTGTTGGGTAATATACATTTGAACATGTTGTGGAAAATTAACAGCCATTAATAACTTCCAAACAATAAAGCATTCAAATTCACCTATTTTTTAAAGAAACAACATACATTCAATGTTAACGGTATCTGCATTTAAATCTTCAGTTCCAGGAAAATTAAAGGTGAAGGAAGGGATTGACTCAAGAACACGGGTAGGTTGACGTACACATTTGGAAAGTTGCATGGAAGTTTGATTTATTATTTCTGAAAGAGGTGTGCACGAATTAGAACTTGGTGGTTGCTTATGTTTGGTTAAAAATATACATCCTTCGTTGTCAATAGCAGCACTTCCAACAATATTCACATTAGTTATTTCATTGGCAGCTGCAACATATTTCAAATTACAAAATTACGAATAGACATATTTTTATATAACAAATGGATAACATTGTAATAATATATATGGAATAGAAAAAGGGATATGTAGAATTACATATTATTAACATAGACATTAGAGTTCCCAGAGCAGGATGTTGTACACATGATGAACCTCCAAGTCCATATGTATGCATAAGAGGTGTAAGATTTTCATCTACCATAAAAAGAGCATAAATTTAAACTTCAGATGTTATAGTAACACTGTTATCATGACTGATTCCATTTATTAATATAAATACATAGTATTTACAAACTTGTGACTTTCATACTATGTTTAGATTTTTTCTTTGCAATATCATCTTCCTCTGATGTCCGGCATTTGATGAGTTGTTTCCATCCATAGCCACTGATATAGATTACTAAATGTACAATTGGAGTGAGTGATGAAATAGATGTGTAAAAAAGATCTAAAACATATATACAATATTATGTAAGTGTGTGTGTGTGAAAGAATATCAAAAGTTAGAAGCAGCTGTTGGAGAATGACATTGGAACTGTTCAGTATATTAATAGCAACAGGTTCCCAAAAAAATTGCCAAGTCTTTACTGATACAACAAAATAATGATTGAATTATTCATAATTAATGCAAATATAACAACCGAAGATGATTAAACTATTTATTTATTGGTTAAGTAATGTAAAACAATTAATTATTATTGGAGTATTGAATACAAATTATGTAAACCCAAGGAACTTCACAAATTATCTTTTATAAACTTATGCAAACATTTACATTATGAATATAACTAAGACAAAATATCCGTGTATTTTGTCTATGTAGCCTTCACAGTTGTTCAGTGCTTGATGAGTCATAATATAACCTAGAATATCATTTCAAAGTTACAAAAAACAAAAAGTTATTCATAGTTAGTAAGATATTACATACCTTCAATATCTTATCATTAGTTAAGTTGTTTCCTCAAATTTGACAGACTATTGGTATCAACCTTTTTAAACAATTTCTCCTAAACAGACAGCATAAAAAAATAATAACAGAAGTAGATATATGACATGAACAGAATAACAATAATAACAGTAACATATTGTTGATTAACAATACTTAACATAGTTGTCTTGTTCCAAAATTGATTAACAAAAAAAACACGGCAACAAAATAACGTTACACAATACCAAAAGTAATAAAAATAAAATAACAAACAACACCAAAAATTATAACATATACCAAAAATTAAAAACACAAATCTGGGCTTAACATACGCCCCAAAAATCCAACAGAGGAATCATCTAGGACATTGAAATTTGAATTACATATTGATATAAAAGAAGACTAAAAGAAGACACATGCCAATCATCCTTCTCAATCTTAATATTTTTCGTAATTCTTGAGATGGCTCTGTCATTTTCATCATCAACTTCATCTATGCCCCTTTAACAGGAGTGCTTTCAGCGGCATTTTCTTTAATATGTTTGGACGTCGAACCATTATCTCCATATTTCTCCTTAATAACAATGTTCTCAAACTTGATGCCCAAATCCTGAACTACACCAGCATCTATGTCATTATGAACAACACCAGCAGGAAAATCATCCTCAACACCACCAAAATTCTATATTAAACATAAATTGATATTAATAAACATTGTACAAAGACATATAATGAATTTCAACTACAAAGATACGCAATTATGTACGACAATATATAATACCTTAATAACATTTTTGAATGTAGCCACAACATCTTGGCCAGGACACAATTTTTTTACATGAAATGACTGTTCAAACCTAAAGTTCACGTCATTGTTCACAACTATCTTAAAGAGCATAGTTTGTTCAACCAATTCACCAATAACTGTTGGCAAAATGGTTGGCCGAACAACCTAAAATCTGAAATGTTACAAACACAAAATATTAGATAACAACGAATAAGAAAACCTAAAATAGGTAATAGATATGTGTAATTCAGAAACACTCACACAATCCATTTCATCAATCAAATCAGAACACATTTTCTTTGTCAGTAGATAGCAATCACGATCAAAAACAACGAATGTAGAAGAATTGTTTCATCAATCACCCTGAGTTTGATATGGTACCTATATATGTAATCCATAATCAATAAACATAAACAATATTCATTAACAAAGTATAAACATTTGTTAACAAACATTTATGTACGTTAACATAATTAACAATGAAATACCTTGGCACAATTTTCTAAACATGTTTTTCGCACTTAGGGCAGTAAATCCTTTTAGAATCTGTAACAACTAGGGATGTAAATTGATATCCATTGGGATGTATAGTATGATATCCGTGCCCGGCTCGTTGGATAAATATGATATACATATTCGTCCCATATCTATGCGGGTATTCGTTAAACGGGTAATCCGCGGGTTTTAAGATATCCATGGATATATATAGATATCTATGGATACCGTTTTTTTTTCTAAAATTATGTTTTGAAAAAAAATATTTTCAACTTATTTTAAAGACATAAGTTATTTCCACATAACATCTATACAAATCTCTCTTATTTTAACAACAAAGTTTCATCATATTAATTTTCTTTATTTTCACCAAAGCATAAATATAGAAGGATTGTTGAAGTGAGGTATAAAGTATAGAAGAAGGTTAAATATGAAATGGTCAATAGGATTTGTATGAAATATAAATGTTTTCTTCAAAGAAAACTTAAAAAATAAAATAAGAGGAGCTTAGATTTTTAGAAGATGAAAAGATATAGTATAATAAACAGTTAATATTTAAATAATTTTTATAATTTATTAATGGATACAGATAACTGCAGGTACGGGTAACATTAAACTCGTATCCATATCCATTAATAAATGTGTAGTTAAAAATCCATTTATTTTATCTGTGGATATCTATTAAGCTACCTGCCCCGTATCCGTGACGGATTTTATCTGCAGATATCTGCGAGTACGGATTTTTTTGTCATCCCTAGAAGCAACACCCTTGTTGCAGACACATCCAGTATACCACCAATCCTTGCCACCGATAACATGTTTGTTTGTCCCTAACACAATACAAATAATATTCTACAGAGACAAAAAAAAACAATTATGTTAAGTTAACAAACTAAAAAACAGACAATCCATCTCAAATAATTTTTGTATGAATTGATAGCTAAATATTACATCTTGACAATCCTTCAGTTCCTCAATAGTTCTATGTTGACTCAAGTTCAAAAATTCTTCTTATAAACTCAACTCGGAAGCATCCTTCATATAACTGAATGGTTGTGTAGGTGAACCAATGTTATCACGGACCTTCAATTTTTCTGCCTCAAGAATTTCAGGGTTGAACAAAATCTTGGTAGAGTTCATTACAGCGAGATTGTACAAAGTCGTCAAGGGCATCAACATACGATCCAAATAGTGTGCACCCAAGCTTAATTCTACATGACTTATAAAATTTAATCAGATAAACGATTAGAGTATTACATAACAATATACGGTATAACTCACATAAAATATATTACCAATTGGATTCCAACTCAATAAATTTAAATTTAGTAGCTACACAATTCCTTTCATACACCCTTTCACGACCAACAGAAGACAAAATACCAATAACATCTGGAAAATATTTAAGAAAGTAGAACTTTAGATGCACAACTATACAAATATTTGAAAATATATTAAATAAAATACTAAAAGATAAGGTATACTACCAATCAAGTAGTCCATGTCTATGTTGCCAAGAATATCTGGAAAAGATACAAACAAATAAGGCGATAATGTTGTAATTCAAGTTCCAACATCTGTGACAAGCGTGCCATTCTGCCCCGTATCCATGATCTTACTTGGGAAACATAAGCATTGATGAGCAGAAGTTGAAATTGGCTCTTAGAGTCATTTGAATACATGAATCAGGGTTTGGAAAATAGGAAGAATTTATTGGCCAAGAAACAGAACGTTGCATTATAAAGGGGAATAAGCAAAAATGGATTTTTGGGAAAGGTGAAATTTTGACGACGGTTGCTATTCTCCAATGGCTCAATCACAATTATTTGGTGAAACCGTGACACACAAAACATAATCATTACATCAATTAGATAAATTAAAAATTAAATAAAAATTAAATACAAATATATTTAAAGGAAGTTTTATATTTTAGCAATATTATAAATAGAAGAGAGGATGAAAGTTTGCCAAGTGTAATACTTGTCAAATAACTCATTTTCTTTTATTATATTGTATAGATGTACTGAGAAATTTTAAAATTGAGATTCCGATTTCCTCGCGTAAAAATTTCACAAAAAATAATGTGTAAATCATCATTAATTCTTTTAAAAAACTATCATAATAATATTTAATGAATTTATAATTATAAAATATAAATATAGAAATTAAATGAAGAGGTCTAAAATATTAATTAACAATATTTCCCAACAGAGAATTATTGGATGATGCATATCCGAAACATACTTTTTTTACTACAATAGATATTGTTTTATGTATTTATTTAAAATAAATATAATCTAATATTTGAATATTGAGTTATTTTAAATATGTATGTCCGAAAATACTTCTGAATATTTAAATCCAACATTTTAAATTACAATAACATACACGTTTAAATTACAATACTATACAAAAAAAAAAAATTCAAATATATATATTCAAAACACATTTTAAAAGTTTGTTTGAATATTGATATCCGAATGATATTTTAGAATTTTCAAATGTATTTTAATTCTATATATAATATGGGACGTGAAATGCTTAACTGTAACAATTCAAATTAAACACTTTTTGGTTCAATGATATTGGATTAGTTTAAAGGACCATGTCTATGGATGGATGTGAACTCCCCTAACCACTAGTGAGGGGACGCTAGGAAGAGACCATGAACGAAAACATCAGGAATTCCATGTCCTATATGTCTATAGCTTCCGTGACAAAAATAACGATCTTGGTTGTAATGCTCCAACCAAACTTTACCAAACTTTTGAGCAGTGTTTCCTTGTCCTAATATATATGGTTTTTAAATTAGCTAACTTACTTGGAACCATAATTCATTAAAGTTATAAGGTCAGACCTTTATCACTAGATTAACATCTCTTATAAGTTATACATATATGTATTTATTATAAATATTAAACTTTTTGATTAATTAAACCTTAATATTTATATGTAATTCTTTATACATCAATTTTTATTTTGTGTAAGCAAGAAATATATTAAATGGAGAATTAAGGATTCTTCAATCTTTTACACAAAGATATGGGTTAGAAACACCGTCAAAAAATCAAAAAAATTACAAATCAATTACAAACTAAGATAAGAATAGCAATGGTTCCTTGTTGAAGTCGTAGAAACTACAATTGGAATGCGTAATCTTACGGCAAAAAGATCACTTCCAAACCAAAGATTTAATACTCTAAACCGTATTATTCACATTTCAATCCTCATTCCGGAAACATATATCATTTCTAACCAACCATATACATCACATCGTTGCTAACCATATAACTCCTATTTTGCCTAACTTCGCCATTTTTTCTCTACAAAAGGAGTACCAATTCATAAAATGTGAATGACACTCCACCAACTCCTCTTCCCTTTTTCCCACTCAAGTGGCTATCTCCAACCAAATAGATTTGATCACATCGCACATGAAGAAAGAATGGTCCCCACTTTCCACATGGATGCCACAAAACAAGAAAATAAAGAATCCAAAGGAAAAGAAATACCTCCTGTAGCGATAAAAAATGTAGCGAGGTAAATCGGAGATCGAATTATTGATTAATTCGTCTCACAAAAGCAAGAGTCGCCACCGCGCTTTATTATTTCCAAGGGAAAAGGGGAAAGAGCGAAATAAAACCCTAAATATGCAATGTAAAATAATACTTTTTAAAAGTAATAAAAATACAATGCGTTTTTGAAAAGAGATCTATGGTTCGGGGGATCGTTATACAGTGGAAAGGTATTAGCACCCAATGTATCTATAGTACTCTATAGGAACCTTTTGAAATATTTGTTTATTAAAATTGTTCGTTTGATTTAAAAATAAAATGTTTTGGCCGAAAAGGGGTACGGACGGGTTTTTGAAGATGCGACGACCTAATGTCGAAGTTTTGCCTTGAAAGGTATAAGTTTTGAAAAGATTGAGTTTTGGGGGGAAAATTTTCTTAAGCTTTAATGAAATGCAAAATATTCGCGTGATCGGACTTGAGGACATGAAGTCAACAAATTTAATCGTTTTTTCCTTTGATTTAGACGTAAACGGAATAAACAAGTAAAGACAAAAATAATTAAACAGAGAATCAGATAGATAAGTGATATACAACAATTAAATAAAAGACTAAATGTGCGAACATGCATTTTTGTATTTTTGTTTAATATTAATAACGCAAGAGAATTAAAAAAATGTTTTTTAAGTTTTTATCATATGTATTTTTTAATATGGATAAAGCAAGAGGATTAATTAAAGAAAATAAAAATGTTTTAATTCTTAAATGTTTTTTTGTGTTTTCTATTATTTTATTCTTTTTATGTGTTTTTTTAGTATTAATATACAAATTATAAAATGACTTAATGTCTTATACTAATTTAAATATTTTAACTAATTTTTATATAAGGTCCTAATTAATATATAACAAGGCATTGTTCATTAGTAATCAATATAAATAAGAGTAAAATACTTAATTAAACTAAATATGAAAAGAAATGGTTTATTATTTAAAATTAGAAAAAGGTAAATTAAAATTGGTTTATAAATGTTAAAACAAAATGAAAGGAAAGCAAAAAGATGGGCCAAATAGTTCTAAGGGGCCCAAACAGAAGCAAGTAAAAATGGGGGGTGCCTAAGGAAATCCGTTTGGGCTTAGGTGGAAGCAGGGTTAAGGTCCAACATTATTTCATAATTGTTTTAGGGTTAAACAAAGTTTAGTTGAGAAAAGGGATTAGGGTTTGCAGCGCCGTTTGCTTGTCTTCTTCGTTCTCATCTTTCTTCTTCTTTCGCTTCTGAGTCCTTTGCCCGAGCCACCAACATGTCCAAGCTTCTGACCTCCCTTTGCCCGAGCCACCAACGTCCCTTCTTCCCCGTGGGTTGCTCCGCGATACAGTGAAAAGGTGAGGATTCGTCCATTACGCGTTAAGTTTTTATGATTTTTATTGCATGTTTATGATTTTGTTCATTTCGATTCTGACTTCATTTTTTACATGATTTCTGTTGAGATGGTAACAAAGGAAAAGGGTAAACGAGGTTACCTTTGTGAAGGAGAAGGGAAGGCGTTACGGAGGCTCGATGGCAGAGGAAAGGAGCGCGATGCTGTGGCTTGCTCTTGGTATTTCGTTCCTTTGTCCCTTTTGTGATGAAATCTTCTGTTGCCTTTGAATGCTTGTTGATATGCCTTCGAATAATTTTCTTCTCTTCTTCTTTACTGTTGGCTTGATGCTTGACTGTATGTTTCTTCTTCTTTTGTCGGCTTGAGATATTTGTTGAGATTTGTCCTTGTATGCTTTTGGATAATGTTGTTGAAACGCCTTGTTTTGACCAACTTCCCTCTTCTTGTGTTGCCTTGCTTCTGTTGCTTTCTATTGGCCAATGATGATTACGGTGAGTTCTGGTTGCCTTGAACATGCTACTGTGTTGCCTTCGTTGTATGCTTTTTCTCTTCTTCTTTTGCTGTGATTTCGTACGCTTTATTAATGGCCCATGATGATTACTTCTGAGGCCTTTGTGGGTTTGGACATTGGTTGATAAGTTGTGTTGTTCTGGTTTTTTGGCTTTAGAATTGGTTATGGTTTCAACAGGTTTGGCCTTGAGTTTACTGGTTTTACTGGTTTTAGGCCATTACAGGTTTTATGGTTTTAGGCCATGAGGTCGTGTTTTGGTGATGCTGGACAATTTTGTGTAGGTTATGTTGGTTTATTGCCATGGTTACTCTGGTTTATGCAGGTTTATGCCATGGTTTTGATATGGTTTGAGGTTTTATGGTTTAGGCCATAAGGTTTATGCTTGAGGCAGCAGGTTCTGGTTTTTGAGACCTTGAGAATTTGGTTTTTTGTATTTGTTTTGACAGTTTTTGAGTGTTTCAAAAACTTGAAGACAGGTTGTGAACTCTTTTTTTTTACCTTTGAAGGGTTTGTTATTATGTTATAACAGTTTCTTGGCCTCTCTATCCTGGAGGTTTACGTTACAGGTTGTATAGGTTTTTTGGTATATTTTCTGATACCTCTGCATACTTACTGCTCCATCAGTTTGTCTCTATTCTATTTCATGCTTTCCCTTTTCTTAATGTATACTGCTGCAGTTTGTTTTGTATCCACTTCTGCCTAAGCCAAAACCTGTAAACCACACTCTTCCTCTCTTCTCTCTCTCAAGTACAATTGAAACACCAAAATGTTGTTATGTACTTACTTGTTCTGAAAAAGTATAATGCTGAAAAATGATGAGAATGGAAATATATATTGCTTGCATAAATTGTTTTAAACTGCATGCTCTCTTTGTCTTTGCATGGAAGCCTTTGATTTTTGGCCTTTTCCCCCATGTTTGCATGTTTACGTTGGAACTTTGGAAACTTGCATATGCTGTTTTGTATTATGCTTTTGAAATATGCATGGGATTTGAAACATGCAGTTGGCTTTTTTAATTATGCAGTTTTCAATAAAAATGCAATTTTTGACAAAAGAATGAATTTGTGCATGTTTTTAATTTGTGCATTCATTTTTATCAATAAAAATTCATCCCTTTTTGTGAACCGGGAGAAATCCCGTGATTTGCAAAAAGGGTAAAACTGATTCCAGCCGTTTGCTTTTAATGATGAATGCTAAAATTAATTTTTTGCTTTTAATTATATTTATTTCTGACTTTTTCTTTAATTCTTTTGCAGGTAAAAATCAAATGATCATCAAAGAAGTATTAGATAGAAGATGAAGATTTAGAACTTAGGAAAAAAAATAGGATAGCTTTTA